CCAAAGAAGTCTTATGAGTAAACAGCTTAAAAGAAATTTCACACTTGTCCGGTTTTTCTCCAGTGTGCAATCTAAAATGTCTTTTAAGAACACTTTTCTGAGAAAACTGCTTAAAACAAATTTCGCACTTGTAAGGATTTTTTTCAGTGTGAATTATTTTGTGTGCATCCAAAGAAGTTTTTTGAGTAAACAGCTTAAAACAAATTTCACACTTGTAAGGTTTTTCTCCAGTGTGTAATCTAAAATGTGTTTTCAAACTACTTTTGTGAGAAAACTGCTTAAAACAAATTTCGCACTTGTAGGGATTTTCACCAGTGTGAACTATTTTGTGTTCATCCAAAGAATTTTTATGAGTAAAGAGCTTAAAACAAATTTCACACTTGTATGGTTTTTCCCCAGTGTGCAGTCTAAAATGAGTTTTCAAAATACTTTTCCGAGAGAACTGTTTAAAACAAATTTCGCACTTGTAAGGTTTTTCTCCAGTGTGCAACCTAAAATGTGTTTTCAAACTATTTTTCTGAGAAAACTGCTTAAAACAAATTTCGCACTTGTAGGGATTTTCTCCAGTGTGAACTATTTTGTGTTCATCCAAAGAATTTTTATAAGTAAACAGCTTAAAACAAATTTCACACTTGTATGGTTTTTCCCCAGTGTGCAGTCTAAAATGAGTTTTCAAAGTACTTTTCTGAGAAAACTGCTTTAAACAAATACTGCACTTGTAAGGATTTTTTCCAGTGTGAACTTTTTTGTGTCCATTAAAAGAAGTTTTCTGAGAAAACTGCTTAAAACAAATTTCGCACTTGTAAGGTTTGTCTCCAGTGTGTAATCTAAAATGTATTTTCAAATTACTTTTCTGAGAAAACTGCTTTAAACAAATATCGCACTTGTAAGGATTTTCTCCAGTGTGAACTATTTTGTGTACATCCAAAGTAGTTTTATGAGTAAACAGCTTAAAACAAATTTCACACTTGTAAGGTTTTTCTCCAGTGTGCAATCGAAGATGTGTTTTCAAATTATTTTTCTGAGAAAACTTCTTAAAACAAAATTCGCAATTGTAAGATTTTTCTCCTGTGTGAACTAACATGTGATTGTTTAATGACCTATGGACTAGTTGATTAAAACAAATTTTACATTTGGTTCTTTTTTCTTCAACAAGTTTGCTCGTAGGTGGTTCTTTGTTACATAAACATACCGATATTGGTTTCATAATTTCTGATGTGTTGTCTTCTTTAAGAAAGCCTGAAAAAAAGCAAAATTTAATGCAAAAAAAGCCTGAAAAAAATTTAATGCAATATCACTGAAAATTGCGTCATATTAAATATATATAACTCTAACTCTTACGTTATTGATTTTAATATTTTATCTTTAAATACTATTTTATAGGATGTTATTTCCAATAATGGATGATGTGCCTAACATGAAAGTATGAGAGTTTCTAAATTTCAAAATCTAGTCATACTTGACATATGAAAAAATCTACTTGATCTAGTAATTATTCTATTTTTAGTATTACCTAGGTAAAATCTCCTTTTCTGTTCTATTTTTGCAATAATACTTATAAATTAATCCAGAAGAAATATTAAATTTTCTAAAAATATTTTCACCAGAGTTATACTAAAGTTAGTGGCAATTTCGCAGGAAGCTCTATTGCCTATTAAATGAATGCAAAGTGTACATAGGAAAGCTCTAGTAGTGGTTAGATGTATGTTTTTTGTATATACTCAGACTCCTTATTAGCTGGTAATGTGAGGAACGCTCCATTGATTATTCAATGTACAGATATTATTTTTTTCATCTAAATTTTGAAATATATATAGAGTATATTGTAAATTGTATATTATAAAAGAAGTTGTTCTTAGTGCTTTTTAAAAATTTGACGCTTTATATATGGAGAATGTAAAGATGCTTTAATGATAGTGAGATATATGTATAGTATTTAGTTTGCAATTTCCATCTTTGATATATACTAGTGATGTAACGAATATTCGTATTCGCATTCGCGAATATTCGCATATTTTTGCATATTCGCATTTGCATTCGCATTCGCAAAATGTGTGCGAATGTTTTGCGAATATTACACAGCTTGCATTTAGCTCGTTTAGTATCGAAAAGTGGTGAAAAATAAGTTCATATTTCACTATAATTTGATTTACTCATAGTAATAAATCGCTAATCACACTTTAACTAAAAATTCACTTGTATTTGTGCACGAGCAGAGCAGGGCAAGTAGAGTGACTTGTGTCCCGTGAAATTTTTATTGGAACTATAACCAGGGAACTTAGTTTTCTGCTATAACTTTCTCTCTATAACAAGTCAAATTTGATTATAACAAGAGAAAATAAGATAGAAAAACGTGCTTTCTATGTTTTTGGCCCGGACGTGATTATAAATAAATACCTTTTTAAACGACCCCTCAATAAACTTAACCGCCTACAATAAGCTTCTTTACAATAGATACAACTGTTTCACATCTTTACTTTAGCAAATATGATAGAATGATACTGGACAATTTAAAGTAGTTAAAAATGACAGACTTTTTCCAATTGCCTACACACCTCGCGCAAATGAGACTGCCGGCAGCGCCGGAAACAATTAAAATTGCCAAATTAAAAAAAAACTGAATATTCGCATTCGCATTCGCGTATGTCGGTGGCATATATTCGCATTCGCATTCGCGAATGTTTAAAAAATGACATTTGTTACATCACTAATATATACTCTAGTAGTTGGTCTTTCCATCACATTTTTGGTCTTACCAAAACAGTTTTTAACTGCAACTTTAGAAGCCTCATACTTAAGTTGTTCACAAAAATTGTCACAAAATAATCATTGTGACAATACAGTTAAGTTCTTATAAATCTGAACTTATCTGAATCATAGAAAAAAACTGGGCGTTACACATAAACAGACACTCTAACCTAACCAAATATATTTTCCTCAAGGCACTGCATCACAGTGTTGCCGTATTTATTTTAGTAAAATATGTATATGAATGCTACAAATATGAAGTTACTTTTACGAAATAATAATTTATGTTATGAGAAGCTACAAATTTTAAATAAGTATAAAACTTGCGGTATTTTTTTTGTAAAATGTATATGAAGGTTTAAAATATAAGTTACTTTTACGAAATTATAATTTGTATTATGAGAAGCTACAAGTTTTAAATAAGTATAAAACAATTATTTTGTGTTACTTTAAATGCAGTTAAATATTGTAAATTAGCACTTTCCAAATCTTATCTATTAGGACCTTATTATTAGGTGCGAATGGTCAACCCGCTACAATGATACTTGTGAATCATAAATTGTATATTTCCTAAGAAGTTTATTGCGGGCAACCGTTAAAAGGGTATTTATTTATAACCACATTATAACCATTATTTTTAATCAATTTTATTGTATATGCATTTGATTATTATCTTTAATTTAACTAAAATCTATACTATTAATTTTTTATATATCACTTTAATCAACATTTGTATAATATTATGTGAGAGTATGAAAAAACTGGAGACTTGGCAACTCTGACACCATTTAGGTGTATGTTAAATGTCATATAAAAGCTTGGTTAGGTTAGAGCAGCGGTTCTCAATCTTTTTTGGTGACGGAACTCTTTTGGAAAGCGAAATACTTGACGGAACCCTATAATAAAACAATAGTTTTTAAAAGTGTATTCTTTATTAATAAGCATAATAAAAGTACCATGTAACAGTTAGTTATTACTTACTAACATAACAAGTATAATAATAGAAATTATTAAAAAAGAAAAAGATCTAACTAATGGGAGGTATAAAACTGTTTTTTTATTTTTCATCAATTGGTTGATATCAGGTTTGATAGAGGACAGTTGAAGTCTCATATCAGGTTCGGCGTCCAGTCTATTGCTGTATTTTGTTTTCATAGCTGCATAGGTTGAGAATCCTGTTTCGCACAAATATGTTGTTGGGAACGGGAGAAGAATATTCAGTGCCATTTTGGCAAGCATTGGATAGTCATCACGAATTCTGCACCAAAAATCGTTGAGAGGCGTCGTTTTGAACAGTGCCTCCAAACTTGTGTCTGATGACATTTCTAAAAGAGATTGATATATCTCGTTTGGCATACTTTCGGGCTTTTGTAAGTTGGGTAAAAAAGGATTATGAATCCATAAATTCAGTTTCATTTTTGTATTTTGTTCTTCGGGAAAATACTTCTCAAAAGATGCGCGCATCGAAGTGAGATATTTGACCAATTCATCTTGAAACATTTCTGAATCGTTATCACTAACAAACTCACTGAGTGAGGTAAAGCTTTCGATTTCTCTCTTTCCAACGCAAATTATCCAAAAATCTAATTTTCTTTTGAAGGCAGTTATTTTGTTACAGGCCTGGAACACTGTTGTCTGTTTACCTTGCAATGATACATTTAATTCGTTCAGTTCTTGAAAGATATCTGCCATAAAAGACAGTCGGAACAACCAAGTTTTATCATACAAACGGTCTTTCAAATTAAAAGCAGTATCTAAAAGAAACATTTGTAACTCGGCTCTAAGTTCAAATAGCCTTGTTAAAGTTTTACCCCAAGACAGCCATCGCACTTCTGTATGGAGCAGCAGTGTTTTATGTTTGCTGCCATAATCTTCACACAATGATGTATCTACATACAATATATTTATTTTATTAAACATTTCTTCTCCGGTAGTTTTTGTGGGCAGCGGTGAACACATAAGCATATCTTCTTCCAAAGAACTTTCATATGGATATCTCACGATAACCAGCAAGATAGCCAGACCAGAGACATCAGTAGACTCATCTATTTGCAAGACGAAACGTGTTTCTTGTAGACGTGTAACTAGTTCTTGTTTGACGTAGCTTGCCAGATCATGAATTCGACTTGAAACAGTATCGTTTGATAGCGACACAGTAGAAAGATGCTTTGCAGATTTTTCATCGAGCATACATTTTGTTATGTCTAACACACATGGATTTATTAAATTCTCAGCGATAGTGTGCGCTTCACCTGCTTGTGCAATGCGATAGCTAACTAAATATGATGTCTCTGTGGCCTTTTCATTGATAGTTTGGGTTACATGCATCATAGTTTTTTGACTTTCCAATAACTGTTCTTTTTTACGTACAAAGTCTTTATTCTTGTCTTTAGACTCAGGGTGTACAGTTTCTAAATGTCGGCCCAACTTGGCAGGTGCCATGGAACTATTAGGAAGCAGTTTACTACATAACATGCAGAGAGGTGAGCCTTTGGAATCAACAAATCCGAAACTGATATATGATTCATCATACTTCCTTTTTTTCGCCTTTGAAACCGTGGAACTTGACGTCGTTGCATAATCGTCTGGATCGGTAATTGCTGTATACTCCGCGCGAACTACTTTTGAACATTCGGCTTCGTTAGAAGATGTTGTTGCAACACGTTTAACGCCTTTAAGCCAACGTTCCATTCTTCTTTATTAATAATGTTACATGTCAGGATGGTGGGGTCAAAATAACGCACGATCGTTACTGCGTAAAAGAGTTTAGTCCAAAGAAGAAATGTACAATCAGAATACAGCAGTAGAACAATAAACACTTTGTTTCTAGCAGGTAGGTACTTATCACTCCGAACACTAATCGTCAACTAACTAAGCGTAGAGGCGCAGGTGCGATCGCCGCTTTTATAGTCTTAGCCAGATCTCGAACATTCTCAAAAATACTCGAGTCGGCGAGCATGTTTACAATTATTGTTAATCTCAGGGGCGGCTTTTATCAAAGGGACTCGCACTCACAAGTAGATATCGGCGGTGGCGGCATAGTAAAATTGTACGAGGCGAATTGTATATATGTATGTGTATATATGTATGTGTGTATGTATGTGTATGAATTGTATGTATGTGTATGAATTGTATATATGTATGTGTGTATGTATGTGTTCGGCTGCGCCTCGTGAATCGTGATACGCCGCGTCAGAACGGTCGACCAGAGAGAGTTGTTTGGAATTTTTTCTAAATTCTTGCGGAACCCCTACAGGGATGTCGCGGAACCCTAGGGTTCCGCGGAACACACTAGAGAATGGCTGGGTTAGAGTGCCCATTTGGACGGTGTTTTGCAACAACCGTCTAACCCACATTTGTTTACAAATGAGGTTAGACGTGTCAAATTGTCGATCATAATGCATACTACATCAAGCAAAAATGATATAAGCCATACCTATCTATACTCATGGATGTGTTTGTGAACTAAGTTCTAAACCACTTTCGTCAAATAATATGAAAACAGAAATTTGTAAAAATAGTCTAACCCATGTTTTCATTATGAATATCTGGGTTAGACTTTTGTTGCAAATCTTTGTAAGGGTCTTTTCATTGTGTGCACCAGATGCAAAATATTAAATTAATAAACAAATATTTATTTTAACTTATTGAAATACGAGAAATTTATTATTACACTAATATTATAATTTTATTTAAATAAATAAATTTGCACCAAACTAGAGGCCTTATCTTTAAGGGTAAAATACGAAAGTATATTATTTAAAACTGTGAATTTTCTGTGTCGTCAGCTCGGAAATTGATTAAATAAATTTTTAAATTCCTTTTATCATAGATAGTGTACCGAAAAGGTAACATAATATGTTTTGCGATTACTCGTATATTGATGTCATAAATGCCGACAAAAAATTGCATTATCATATAACAAACATATTGGAACTGTTGCTTGATTGTCAAAATTCTGGTCAGCAAAATATTGTATGCCTTTTTAACAAAGGAATTTGATATTTCAACATACTGTTTTAAACTTTACGAGTGCGGTAGGTTGTTATTATTTGGGTGTAATATTTTAAAGCAAAATACCACAAACTTGGTGTTCTTACTTCAGTGACTATAATTTTTATTATTCGAGGTACGTATAAACTTATTTTGACTTAAAATTTCACAGTAGATATAAATTTGTATTTATTAAAACCTTTTATTTAATATTAACAGCAAACGGCAGTTAAACTAATTTGGATCTATGATAGCTGCCCATATTATAATACTTGCACATACAGAAATATAAATATATCAAGTTTAACATTAGCTACGTTAGTCGTGTAGTGGGGTTAGATCTTTTTTGCTAACCGCACTATAACACAAAATTTATTTTTTATTGCATTTGTAAAAAATGTTTTATAAATGTAACATTTTTACTTCGTAATAACATATTAAAACTGGATGTTTTAAGTGAGTGCCTAATACTCTAATTTTATTTTAGACGATGGATATTTCAAGAGGAAAGCTATTAGCGAACCTGGGAATTCAAAAATTTCAACAAACTTTGACCCCCTTTGTCATTTCCAACATATGTGTCACATTATTGTCGCAATCAGATGGACTCCAAATTTTTAAATCCTGACCTGAATTTATCAAAAATGTATCAATTCTACAGATACTACAGAAAGTGAAGAGTGAAATGAAGGCTGATCTAATATGCGCGCAAGAAGATGAAACACTGGAGACCCTGACATTCGATCTCCAAAAAACTCATCCTTTACCAAAAATACCGACTGGAGTCACATATTATAAAAGACAATTAAATTTACTTAATTTAGGTATTTATGTCGGCAGTACAAAAAGAGGTATTTTCAATGTATGGACAGAGCAAGAGGCAGGCAGGGGAACACAAGAAGTCGGTTCATGTCTGTGTAAATATATTAATGAAAATATAAAGGCACCCGTAAAGAAATTAATTATAAGGTGTGATTCTTGTGGGGGGCAGAATAGAAGTATTAAGCTAGTGTTAATGCTTATTCACATACTTCAAAACCATACGTCCCTTGAATCCATTTCGTTAAAATTTTTACTTTCTGGCCACAGTTTCCTGCCTAACGATTCACATTTCGGAGATGTCCAATGCGCTCTTAAAACTCATCAAAGACTGTACACTGACAACGATTACATAGAAATAATGAGATCTTGTCGAGTAAAAAATAAATTTGTTGTAAACTGTCTAAGATCTGAAGAAATGGTTTCAGTTAGTCTTTTGCTACAATCCATAACAAATCGGAAAACACGATATAAATAAGGATGTTATTAATTGGCTAAAAACACATGTAATACATATTACAAAGGAAAATCCCACAATTTTGTACATGAAAAAACATGTGAGAGATCAACAATTTTCGGAGGTAAATATTGAAAAATCAGGTAAAGGTCGAAAACCTGTTTTAAAGAATGTAGAGTTGCCTCCCTTGTGGCCAAATGGCAAATCACTGTCCGCTGAAAAAATTAAGGACCTTAAAAATTTGTCTAAGTTAATTCCTTAAGATGCCATGACTTTTTATGGATTTTTGGACAACATCAGCTATGAAAATTTTGAAGAAGATTTGGAAGGAATAGGGTTAAATCCCGATTTCGAGATTGACCAAGACCAAATCGAGTAGAAATTAAACAGTAACAGGTACTTACTATTTGTAATGAACTCGGAAAGGAAGTTTTTTCTGTGTATTTATTATTTTGGAGGGATAGACGGTTATTGCAAAATGACGAACTTATATTTTTACCATTTTGTAAAAACCGTCTAAGCTGCTTTAAGTTATTTTTGCAATAAACTGTTTTTACTTATTTTGCTTTTGTACGTAGGTAGATACATTATGCTCATTTACTCGAAACCATATATATGTGGCTTAGACTAGATATTATTGCAGAACACTCTCCATTTATGCCTAACGCCCAAAAAACTATATTTACTTAGTGCAACTATGGCTATTATGTATGTTAAGAAGCAGAATACATTTTTTTCAAATTTCAATATTTAATAATGTAAATTGTCATGAAATTAACAAAGAAAGCTTATAAAGCTGAAATCTATTGAACATTTTTAAAACCATAATAAAGAATAAAAAATTCACCCATTTATTATTTATCTCACCTGAGTTATACTCAACTGATTCATTCTTCAAGACTTCCAGATTGAGAGATGTAGATAACTGACTCTTTATATATTTTGAGTCACCTTCAGAAACCTCTTCTTTAATTTCAGCTTTTACTGCCATAACTAATAAAAATAGAAATTAAATCACATTCTTTACTAGGATTCTATTGTCTTACCGGAGTTATCTTCTGGTTCACTCCTCAAGTCACTCAAATTAAGACATGTAGATAGTTGATTTTTTATATATCTTAAGTTATCTTCAACAAACTCATCCTTAATTTCAGCTTTTACTTCCATAGCTAACAAAGATAATTCCAGACTGTGCCCCTCAAAAAATTTTTTGTAACTGTGCTGAAAGAAAAAAAGAAAAGCTCAAATCAAATACAAAGAGAGAATGCTTTTAAAAACTACATTTTTATTATATTACTTTGTTTGTATTGTTTGTGCAATTTTAAAGCAGATTTACATCTAGGCTATGCAGGTCCGTCTTGTATGGTATAATATCTCTTGCCTAGCTTGATCTGTTTACATCAGAGCTATTTTCGTGCAATTTTGAGACACCACTACCGCACTACAAATACCAAAAAATATCAATGCGTCTATATTCTTTGCCACACTACTGTTGCCAATTGAACATCAATATAAGAATTAAAGAAAAAGAAGGAATGGAATTGGCAAAGCAAAAGTGGCAAAAGTATAGAGATGGTTATAGAGAAAGTCAAGAAAGTGCCGATGAATTTGGCATAGATAAAAGTCATGTCAAATTTGTGTTTGCGGTATTGCCATGTCCTTATTATGTGTATGTGTTATGTCTCAAATATGCTTTGAAACAGTACATTTTTATTATATTATTTTATGAAATCGGGTATTTTTTAAAAAAATTTAAATTTATATGAACCACGAACGAATGAATATTTGTTTCTTTTGACATTAGTTGCAGTTAGTTATTACAAAAAAAAAATTATAATTGGCCTTTGGTAGATTAGTAAATAAACTTGGCAATACTGTCAAAAGTAGTTGCCAGATTGCAACAGATGTTTAGTAGACTTCAATTTTATGAATATTTTCTTATAATTTTCGGATGAAATGGTATCTGAATAAAAGCCTAAAAAATTAAAGTTAATTTAAATTATAATAAATTAAATTTAAATTATTTAAACTTTTTTTAAAAACTTAAAAATATTGTTTAGTAACTTTAATTAATATTTATATCGCATGCTCTTTCGTGATTTATTTGTGATATGCCAACACTGCCAAGTGCCAAATACAAATCTGTCACTAATTTGTAGCTAACTTCATCGGCAGTAATCGGCATTTTCTCTATGCTCTATTCGCTCCGTGCGTGACTGACACGACACCTACCGCCTTTTTCTGATAATTTTGGAGTCCCAATTTTCAGGTTAAACATATGACATATGTTTGACATTGTTAAATACATGCGAAATTGACAATTATTAATAAATTAGTTTTTTAACTATATTTTTTCAGTTTATGTACAAAATAAATGTAGTATTAAAAACTGGGTTTCTCAAAATTCATCATAATATATCTT